GTTTCCTGTATTCAAGATATCCCCTGCAGAGATTTAATTAATATACATACTTAAAATATCATTCAAAATTGTTATTTTTCTCTTCACACTAAAACTGTTTAAAATAAATTCTTTTCAAAACCATATCTTAACCTCACAGAATGCTAACCTTTCAAAATACTATTCATACTCAGTAAAATGTAAAATTTAAAATTTAGGAAGGAACACTGAATTCTGGTTCACTATCAGATCATTTGTGGGAGAGTAGAGTACTTTTAGTAAGTGAAACTAAATTAGCACTATTTAAAGGAAAATTTTAATGTAAAATAGTTTAATTAAATAAAATTCCCAAAAAGCACATTGGAAGCAACAGTGAAGATTCTGAGTTGACAACAGTCTCTTCTCTGCTGAGCTCTCTGTGGAACTTCTAGAATGAAAGCCCCTTATATCCTATTTAAATCATAATGTGGAAATACAGAAAAAATGTGCAGTACTGCAGACCTATTACCTAAATAACCCCAAGCTATACACTAAAGAGGTTCAATAATGACACGATTCCCTTAGCAACCGGTACAAACTAATACCCATTCCCTACAAGAAGATCCAAAATGATTCAGCAAAGTTAGAACCTATGGTAAGCAAACTAATGGCTTCTTAAAAAAATGTCCAATACCCTAATCCCTAGATACTGTGAATATATTTCTTTGTAAGAGGAACTGTGCAGTTGTAATTAGAATAATGTTACTGAGATATTATCTTGATTATCTAGATGGAACTGATATAATCACAGGGGTTCTTAAACTTGGTGAAGCTTTTCCTACAGTGATCAGATGAAGATTTTCTATGACAGAAGGGTCAAGAAGATGCTAAGTTTATAGCTCTGAAGATGAAGAAAGTGCCACCAGCCAAAGAGTGCAGGTTGCTTCCAGGAGCTATAAAAGGCAAGAAAAGGCATTCAACCCCAGGAGCCTGCAGAAGGAGACTACACTATTGCACCCTAACTTTAGTTCCATGAGATTCATCACATACTTTTAACCTGGGGCACTAAAAGACTATAAATTTCTGTTGGTGAAAACATTTTGTAAATAGTTCAAATTTACTACTAAAATGTTTCTTAATGCTTCATAGTTGTAAAAATAAATTAAACATTCATATTTGATTTTCATAAAACACAAACAGCAATCTAAAAATAGTGTATTTGCTTAGGACAATAGTTACTATAGTAGACACTGTATTCACTGATTTGAATTAAGATGAGCCATACATAAAACACAATAATCATAAAATAACAACAAAATGTGTCCATGACTAACATTTTCTTTTCTCTTTGAGTTACTGTTCAGGAAACTAACTTTTAGTAGCACAGGTACACAACACCAAAACCCTTCACTATCCTAGCATTTTTTTTATACAAAAAGCTTATCAAGTTTAATTCTCCAAAATAGTTTGAAATATAGTCATAAAGACTTGAGACATGGAGGAATATAACTGTCACTTTAAATAAGTAAAACCCATGCCCAAAATTTAGTTTTGACATAAATATCTTATTTCATGGCCCCATCATGAGGAAAAGCCATAAATGTATATCACTTTAAATAACTGGACTCATTTTCTAAGATTCCTATGACTGTTTAAAAATAATCAATAAAACATAGTCCTTGCCAAAGTAAATCTTGAACTATATAATTCATATTTGCTATTATAAACAAGTTATGATAACTAAGAAGGTTTTTTTTCTAATATCCTGAGCCTTGTGACTATAGCTGCAGATAAAAACAAAATGGCAAATCATAGCTCAGCTTTGGTAGAACACTTTTTAACATACAGCAAAATTAAAACAGCAGTGTCATGAAATTCTAAAGCCTGGCTTTATATAACTTCTTCCTTCTTTTTTTTTTTAATACTCTACTTCAAAACCTCCATCACACGAAAACACCTAGACACAGCTAAGCATACAGCACCCCCCACATTCCTGGATCACAAAAGGAGAAGGTCTCATTTTCCTCTCAAGTTCCCTGCCTGCCTTAGGCTTCTCTCCAGTGGATTGAGATTCCCCAGTGGCTGTTTCTTTGCCCTGCCCAAGGGTCTGTCCTCAGCACTCTAGCTCAGTGAAAGGTTTCTGCCCGTTCTCACTGTTTCACATAGTACCTGCATGCTTACAACCTCATTCCTCACCTGCTCTTCAGGCCCATTTCAACTGTCCAGTCCTTCTTCTGATCCAGGCTGTATAAATTTTCCAAAACCTCTTATTCTTTACATCAAAATCCAATCCCTCAACTGTGATTTAACCAAGATTGTATACCTTAAGACTGTAGACCCCTAGCCCCATGAGCGGCTCTCCAGCAAGGCCATAGCCCCTGAGGCACATGGACCTAATTCGGAACCCAGCAGCTTCTGGCAGAAATGTGAATGGACTGTGCATTAAGCTATGGTGCTGTGCCCCCGCTCCCAGGAGGGAAAGGGTGTCTGTCTCTCCCGCCTATCATACCCCTCATTCCCTCCCCCCCCCCCCGCCCCAGGCATGGTGGCTGCTGCCTCAGAGCTTATTGGACAGCCAGGTATGAGCCGGCGGTGACAAGGCAACTGCAGCCTCATGGGATAGCGGGCAGAACCAGCATGTCCTTCTTGCCCTGCCGAGACGAGTTGCCCCCATGAGTGGCTCTCCAGCACGGCCATGGACCCAGAGGCACACGGACCTAATTAGGAACCCAGCAGCTTCTGGCAGAAATGTGAATGGACTATGCATTAAGCTAAGGCTCTGTGCCCGCCCCCTCCCCCCGGGAGGGAAAGGGTGTCTGTCTCTTCCGCCAATCCCCACCCCCCCCCCCCCGCAGCGGCATGGTGGCTGCCATGTCAGAGCTTATTGGACAGCCAGGTATGAGCCGGAAGTGATGGGGCAACTGCAGCCTCATGGGATTGGGGTGGGGGGAGTGTAACGGGAAAGTCCTTCTTGCCCTGCCGAGACCACTAGTTGCACCCCACAAGTGGCTCTCCAGCATGGCCATGGACCCAGAGGCACACAAACCAATCTCGGAACTATTCAGCTTTTGGCAGAAATCCCTCCAGATTTAATTAGTAAAATATCAGAAATCCAAAATCATGCGGCCACAGTAGCTGCAAGGCTAGGGGTCTACAATGAAAAGAGAAGGCATATTGGATAAACAAACTAAAAGCAGAAACAACAGTCCTTGATGGCAGACTTCCCAGGGAAAGTGAAAAGAATAAGGCATTAAGATAGCTAATTCTTAACTTGGGCACCCGTGGGATGTCCAAATTACATTCCTTTAACCATAAATACCTTTGTAAACATACTCAACTTGCTAAACCCAAATCCAAGACACACTTGTTTTTCCCAGTCTCTCCATTTTCATCAAAACAGCACATAGATAACATTGGCAATGATTATCTATTTTCTTCTACACTGCATTCCTCCAAAAGTTGTCTTCTACACATAGTCATCTCAAAGAGAATTTTCTAGAAAGACTCGTTAGAAACATTCTATGCTGCTTCCAATTATGAAACGGAAGAAGAACCAAATGAAGTTTTTAAGGATTTAGACCTCATAAAGCGATAGCACAGCGGTAGGGCGTTTGCCTTGCGTGCGGCCGCCTAGCCGAGCCGGGTTCGATTACTCTGCCCCTCTCGGAGAGCCTGGCAAGCTACCGAGAGTATCATGCCCGCACGTCAAAGCCTGGCAAACTACTCGTGGCATATTCGATATGCCAAACACAGTAACAACAAGTCTCACAATGGAGACGTTACTGGGCCCACTCAAGCAAATCAATGAAAACGGGGCTACAGTGCTGCAGTCCCATCTTTTCCAAAGAAGAAAATAATTTTCCTTAGTAGACAAATATTTTAAATATTGTTTTATCTAGGACTAACTCTCTAGAAAAGTAACATCCCACGCCAGGCTGAGTCTCATCTGGGACAAACTGGAGGGGATGGGTGAGCCCAGCACTGGTCCCAATGGGCCCTGGCAGTCAAAAAGCTCCAGATCCCAATGGCTGCCATGCTCACAGCTGATCTTCAGAGGCTCCGGGTTAGTCCTTCACACATGAGAACGAATCAACTGAAAAACAGAGGTACGTGGGGTTTGTGACTGAAATTTTCAAGCTCTCACAGTGTGGGGAATAGGCGACCTCCCCCCATCTCCCTGTTCTTCTGGGAGTCTGGCAGTCATGCCCATGAACCGCCTCTGGTGCCATATAAACTGATTAATAGCCATGACCCAGAGACTCAGAAATAAATCTTGGAAGAGAGCCACAAGTCACAGAGATGCCTCCAGATCCCAAAGTTATCAACCAGTTAAAAATTTAACTTCAGCTCTATCACCCTACTTAAAATTGTAGAATTCCTGGGGTGACATCACATACTCTCTGCCACTGGTGTATCAAGAATATGACACCACATCTGATGGGGTATAAACTAGAAGCAATGATCTTGATCAAGAAAAAAAAAAAGATTAGTACACAAGGCTCAACCTGTAAACAGCCTGTCAAGTAAACTCTTATACAAGAGCTTAATATCTCCGGGGTGAGATACAACAATCTTCACACATTTTCCTCTAAGAAATCTTTTTTGTATCATTTTTAGCCAATTATTCATAACAAACAATACAAAATAAATTTCTTAGGATCTGCCTTTGGGGAAGGCTTGGGTGGTGGTGGGAAAATTCAAAATAGTGGTGGTGGGAAGGTAAAATGGTACTGGGATTGGTATTGGAATGTTGAATGTAATAAATTATTGTGAACAACTCTGTAAAAATAAAAAATAAAACCAAATTTCAGCAAATCAAAATGAAAGAAATGAGAGAATCTGAATAATTATCTAGTCTTGCACTCCTTATGCAAAATAACTGCTCATTTATCAGAAGCAAATTTAACCTGTGCCCCTGACTATTTGGTAAATAGGAGTGATGGCGATAGTTCAGTAACCTATCTTTTTGTGGAGATCATATTCTAGTCCTGTCAATAAACTTTGAAATTTCTCCATTTTACTTGTAAAAAGCAAATAAATGCATCGCCTGTTGGCCTTTTGTCTAAGATCAAGTGTGGCATCTGTTATCAGTTTAATACCTGATACGTCCTCTATCTGAGGACAAGATATTAAATGGACTTTTGGAGCTAGGAGTTGGAATAGGAGCTTTCTCCATTCACTCCACACATTAACCTTACATTGCAGTACCTCCAGGAATGATGCACGGAAAAAAAATTTTTAAAAAAGTAAATCAATGTAATAAATAATCAATTAATTATTGATTGGTCTTTATTTCATAAGCAAAATAACAAAAGAAAAGATTTTACTCTAAAAAGAAGACAAAATATTCCAAACTGACATGCAAATCTGGGGATACAGCGCAGGTCAGAGGGTGTATGTGCCTAACCAATCTTGGATGAGGCCTATGACCGAACCAAACTGAAAACAGTCCTGCTCCCAGACAGCAGTGTCCCTGCCAGGACATGCTCCTTGCACCACACCAAAAAAGGATATTGATCTCCAACATCCCCAAACCAAAGGAGTGTGCAAGCATCACCAACAAAGGTGTGACCATGGTGGTCTGTAACCTAGAGTGTGGGCAGGCACACCAAAGTGCAGATAGGCAAGCACCACAGCCAAATGTGTCACATTCCCTTGCCGCAGTCATCGCAACAACAAAGAGAAGGGAAGGAATAAAGGAAAATTAAGTGAACATATAAGTAAATGATCATTAACAAAAGTAACATAAAATCCACCTAAGCTATTCAAGAAAAACATTTATTTTCCACAGAGTCAAACCTATTTTCTTATTTAATCTTGAAGTTTTATGTGATAAAAAAATTATCTACTACTTTCATTTCACAATCTTTCAATCCGAAAGATTGAAGAAGTTAAATAATGTTGGAATCAAAACAGCCTTTAAGTATGAAAACCAAAATACAAATGAACTCTTTGATTTTAAGCACACATTCTGCATTTCCTCCCATGTATTAAAATAGACTATTATTTGTAAAATTAAAATATTAAACTGGAAAAAATATTTACCCTAAGATTCAGAAACAAACATAAAAAAACCATGGCCAAATACCTAAAGCCCACAAAATCAATCCATGCCTACCTGTCCATACAGGAACTTCAGGGAAGATTCTTTGTGTTGCACTATAAAGCCTTCACTGTATATTAGATGCTGTCACAGAGGAAAGTATTTTTAAGCAGGGTTCAACTACGCATATGGAAATCAGGAAAAATTAAGATTTGAGTTGTGAACATTCCAAATGAATTTCTAAGGAATCCATCTGTTCTATAAAATGAGCGACCATATAAACACAGCTTTGCACTCAAGCACTGAAACAAACTAATGTAATAACTTGAGCAAAGTAAAAAAAAGGAATACGTTGCCAATTCTTGTCTTTGTGGCTCTTAAAGAAAATTCATAGGTATCCCTACAGATCCCAGTGTCATACCCATATTGGTGGTAGGCACCCAGACCCAAAACACAACCATCACACTTGACTTTGTTTCACAACTTCAAGATTAACATAAAAATTCAATGGAATGAGGTCAGTATAAAGGAGAAGAATAAATTTTCAAAGAGGATTTCAGATCTGAAATGAATTGTGAGGTGAGAAAATACCATCTGCATTTAAAAAAAAGCACCATCTGAGGACTATCAACTTAATCATTCTGATGCAGAGGTGGGTTAGCCCTTGCCTATTCACATATCTTTGCCTTGAAGGAGGAAAATCCGAGAGCCATGAGCCAGACACACAGGCAAGTTCCCCACCACTCAGTCTTTCTGCTGCCTGATCTTCCATTTTTCTACTTTAGTCACTTCTCATTTTCTTCTATTCTCATTGTGCTCATTTTCCTCATCTTAGGGGCTTTCTCCTTTCCATTCTCTATCCTTCCTCTGAGTCCTTTTCTCCCACTTCTAAACAGCTCCATCTTAAAGTCATTCTGAAAGCAGACAAGATAGGAATCTGTCAGAGATTGGACTAGGGTGTTAGGGGGAAAATGCAGACGTGAAGGCATCCAGCAGACGAGCACCCTAGCAAGGTAAGCAACATGTCACAAACGGATATAATGGCACTGGACAGGGAGCAGAGTCCCTGAGGGCATCTCCTTAGCATGGTGACCTAGCGTAGGGATCTGGATTTTGGTTGGACAACCTGGGCCTTGAAATCCAAGTCTAGTCACTATGAGGAGCACTGGCCGTAGAGCCTGGTAGGGATCGGGACAGATGGGGGTTATCCAGGAAAGACAGCCCACATGATGGAGCCAGAGCAAGAGTATAGCATGTCAGGGAAAGGCTTGTGGCTGACACAAGTGACCACTGTATATGGGGGGTGAACAAATAACATGTTTTGGAAAATGAATGACACCTTTATCAACATCAAAATCAGAGATTCAACGGTATAGAAAGAAGAAATATGAATGAATTCTCTCTAATTAAGGTATCACCATAAATCCATGGATTTCAGGAGACAAATTATATATGTATATATAGTATGTGTGCATGCGTGTGGAGAGATACACTGTGCATAAATCTGTAGTTATGTAGTTGTGTGCATTTAAACACACATGCCTAAGGCCAAAGTATGACAACTGTCTAACAATAAGCATTCTTAAACGAGTCTTGTAAAAGAGCCAGGCATCTTCTGAAAAAATCACTGCTTCAAGGTCGGTACAAAATGAGAATACAAGTTCACTACTGAAAAAAAAATTTCCTTCAGTGACAATTTCTGGCTTAATGAAAATGTCTTTCTAAAGGCTCAAAGCTTCTAAATGCAGAAACATTTAATAACTTAATAATGATGATGATGATGATAATGATGATGATGATAACTAACTAAAGTAAACGCAACTTGACACAACGTGCACTCTTCCACCCACATTCACTTTATCTTTTGATGTGATGACCAAGGCAGTCATACACATCCTACTCCACTGTGGCACACGCATCAAACAGCCATGCTCACATCTTTCCCAGGGCACTGCCCACTCACTGCAGGCAGTACTCATTTCACTGCCTTATCACCAGGGACCACACTTTGGCTGGGAAGCTTAAACACATCTTCCTGCAGTGCTTTCCAAACGTCAATGACGTTCACGCGTGTGCTGGATACAGTGCTCAGACCACAGCTCTTTTTAATCATGGTGCTCAGAGAAAGAGAGAGAGAGAAAGAGAGAGAGAGAGAGAGAGAGAGAGAGGAGGAGGAGGAGAGAGAGAGAGAGAGAGAGAGAGAGAGAGAGAGAGAAGCCAAGTTCTATTGCCGGCACTGGGACAGCAGAGATCACAGATGGCACAGCTGCCAGTATCAAACAGCAAAGCTGCCAGGATTACACTTGGTGCATTCAGTCACAGAGATTGAGCTTTCAGCCTTAGGCTTACAAGGCAAGCAGTCTAAGCCACTGAGACCCCCAAGAGAATTAGACTTTTTTTTTGGCTGTGCTGGGTATCAAACCCATGGCCCCATACTCACAAGGTATGATCTCTATTACTGAACCACATCCTCAACCCCTTAATATCCATCTTCAGGTAAGGGATTACCTGTGGGAATGAAGAGTTCTCTCACAAAGTTTTTAAAATTAGACATTAGTTCCACTGACATTTAACTATTTTGCAAGAAAGTACTTCTATCATTACACCCAGGAAGTAAACTAGTTACTCCTACAAAAGGCTTCAGGGATAATGCTCCAGGGGCCATCTCTGAATCTTTTAGAATCACTTAATGAGCCGTATCCCCCAGTTCTCCCTAAAAGTAAGTTAAGCACTTTGGAAAGCTGTGTTAATTCTTCTTCAGGCCATTTAACTAATTAATACTTCAGCACTTTAGTAAATTATTACTTCAGTATACTAAATAATAGATCCTACTGGCTGAATTGGTCTTGATCATGTGCCCTTTTAAAATATTCCCAATTTCAGTAGGAGATACAGCATATTACATAACTCAATTTTTTTAAAATACAAATGTCCCAGGATATGCTGACAGCAAAGAGAATAGGAAGAAAAATACCAAATTAAGAAAACACAAAAGATAATGAGGTTTTGAAAAGGCCAGCAATTTGATAAAGTCAGTAGAATAACCCTCCAGGCAAGAGAAACAATTCCTCAGATAGCAAGACTGCGTATTCTATTCAAAAAAAAAAGGAGCTGGGCCTGGGGGATGGCAGGCGCAGGGCAAGAGCTAGATGATGAAACTGTTGATGATATCTTACAGGAAGGATATAGAGTACTCTACTGACAGAATTTCAGATAAATTTCACTTGGGCAAGAGACTTGTTCATCAAAAGATCGATGAGAATTCAAACTGGCCAGAGACAGCACCCTGTTGGTAGGTACTATTCAAGAGATGGCAGGAAGGATGAGTGAAGTTGATCATGTGGTTCGGTTAGGGTAGAGGGGAACATGAAAGGAGGAGTTGAAGCTCTAAACCAGGATTCTAGGCTTAATCAACCATGGTTTTACAAAGTGAGAGAGTCAGAGCAGACGGAACTAAAAGTTGGGAGATGAAGGGTTTTGTGTTAAAATCTAGCCCAATCGAAAGAGCAAGAAAAATAAGAGCATGAAAACTCCCACTGATTTGGGATTGTCACTGGTTCTGTTCAATCAACAACACAGTAGGAACTACATCCTAGGCACTGGTGAGCTAAGCATGAATCATTTCAGGGGAATGACTGAATGCAGATGCCAGATTATCAGAGGAGCTGATGGCAAATGAATGAATAAATACCGTGGCTCTAAAGAAATTTGTTAGTTACTTGGCAACCACTGGACATGAAAGAACAAGACGAACAACCATATGGTAAAAGAAATCTATACACAATGACAATTTAAAGTGCTGTATTCTGATTTGGATCATGGAACAGAAAAAAAAAGACATATATAGAGCAACTGGGGAGATTTGAGAAAAGAGCACAGTTAAGTGAATAATACTGTAATCTCTCAGTTCTGACAAATGTTCTACGGTTATACAAGGTATTAATGTTAGGAGAAACTAGGTGAAAGATACAGAAATATCTGCACTATATTTGCTATTTTTCTCTTCTAAAATTATTATCAAATTGAGAGTTTAGCACAGTGGGTAGAGCATTTGCCTTGCACAAAGCCGACCCGGGTTCGATTTTTCCGCCCCTCTCGGATAGCCTGGCAAGCTACAAAGAGTATCCCACCCACATGGCAGAGCCTGGCAAGCTCCCTGTGGCATATTCAAAATGCCAAAAACAGTA